TGCAACCTGTCCAATCAAGGCACGTCTGTGGGCTTTAACTCTTTTTTTTCTGCTTTGTCATCCCCATTAAGCCAATCCTAATGATTTCCAACGGAAGACTTCTTAACGTGTTCCCCCTTCATGTTTCTTAGCACTGCCTGAAAACAAGACCACTGTTTTATTCTCCCTGGTTGTTTTTACAGCTTCAAGAAGGACTGCCAAGCACCTAAGCACAAAATACCAGACTGTCCATGAGTTGCTTACCAGGGAAAAAAAACCTTTAAAAAAAATCCCTCAAGGAGCCCTCTCAGACCTGCCTTGATTAAAGCATCTCTCAACTCTCCCTAGAGAAGTTTCCTCATGCAGCAGCCGGTGATTAACAACACAGAAACCCACAACTGGCCAATGTGCAGAGAACAAGAGGCTGCAGAGTGCTTATCCCTGACTAGGACACCTATATCAAACTTCTGCTTCCAAAGATAGGGATCTTTGCAGATGAAGGAACAGAAAGATTGTAAAAGCCAGAGGTGGTGGAAGCCCACAAGGAAACAGTTTTCCAGACAACTGAGAGAAATCACTCATACAAACTCTGGACAACAGTGACAGCATACGCAAGTACCATGTAAGATCAAGCCAGACAAAATCCCAGTATAGATGAGGGGAAAGGTAAGGAACCCCAGCCCTACCTGAGGAACTACTGGAAACTGATAGCTGCTGGAAAGAGGAAAGTCAGTCTCTTAAGTGTGTGACTCTTGGTAGGCAAACAAGGCTCCAGTGGATGGACCCACATCAAAGGGCATTTGGAGAAACAAATTTCACATACACACACACACACACACACAGAGTAGATGAAATTGAGTGGATTGGGTGGGAGTGGTCTGGGGGTGATGATAGGGGAGGGAATATAAATACCATCAAAATACATTGTATGAAGCCGGGCATGGTGGCCCATGCCGTAATCATTCCAGCACTTCGGATGCAGAAGCAGGCAGATTTCTGTGAGATTGAGGCAAGCCTGGTCTGTACAATGAGTTCCAGGTCATCTGTGGCTACAGGAGACCCTGTCTCAAAAAAGGCTGAAAAAAAACTATATATATAGTGAAATTTGCAAAATCACAAAAAAGGGGAAAAGAAAGCTAAGCTTCACTTGCTCTTAGTTAACTCTAAGATCACTAATTTTGAAGGTCACACAGCTGGGGAGCAGCAGATCTGCTGTAAGTAATGCCTCTGCTGTGTGGGGTATGGTACTAATGGCTCCCTAAGTAACTTCTCAGGGAGCTCTGACTCTTCTCAGGGAAGTGCTGACTCTTCACTTGTGTCTGCACAAGTCCTCTTAGGTGACTGAGGATGAAATGACCTGGTATCTTTGTCTTCACTTTGTGTCTTTTTACTGTCTTTGCCTTTGGGTCTTACTCTATTCAGTTCTGCAAACAGACATGCTGATCAATGAGAATGGTCTGTCTGGAGCTCAAACATGAGGTTAATTTGATCTAGTTCACCGATAGCTCTTCTCCCTCTTCAATGCTAAAGACACCTACCAGCCTCCATAACTAGAAATGCCAGACTCTGAAAGGAATGAAAAGAGGTGGTTCTGAGTTCCTAGAAGATCTTCACCTATTCCAAGAAAATACATGAGTACCATTCCCCTGTAGTACCCTATCTCTCTCCTTCAATATTCCAGTTAGTTATATCCATCACCCCTCAACTCCTTGGAGGTCAAAGACTGACTTCAGAACAAAATTCCTTCTTCTCACTCTTTGACCACTGAATAAAGCCTTTTTTACCCTCAATATTCATCCCCTGGATAATGGGTTTTCCATAAGTTGAGTTTCTGGGCCTGGGTTCAGGTCCCCAGTAACGTAAGCAAGCCCTAAGCTCTTCTAAATCATCTCTTTTTGTCTCATCCTTGTAATTTACAAAAATATTCAGCAAACAGTGGCTGCCCTCTTCAGGAGCCACATTTGGGCTAGTTGCTATCCAGGCCTTTTTTCCCTTTACTCACACAGCTGCTGTAAAAGAAAGGATAGGCATCCTGCCATGGCTCTCCGTGAGTCTGTCATCCTCACTTCCCCAGAGGAAATTTACCAAGCACCCTAAACAATCAGGGGCTAAAGTGGCACATCCTGAGTGATAGATACACATTAAGGAAAGGGCCGAAACTTCTCCCATCCCCACTGCCCAGGAAATCAATGATAACCTGACTGTAAGCATGTACTATGGGCCACTCTCTGAAATCTATAAAAATGGACCCTGCTTGGCATTGTGGGCCTAAACTCTCTTCAGAAGCCTGCCATGTCTGTCTATCTACAGTGTTAATAATTCTTCTAATAAACTTCTTACCCAAAATGACAATCCACCTGAGTATCTCTCTTGATCCCCAAATCTGAGAGCTTTCAACGCCTAGCTGTACTCTCCATCTTCTCCTTCTCCATCCCAGATCCCAACGCTTGTCTTCCTGCCCATCCAACATCACCCCTCCTAAGATGCCTTTTCCATTCCTCCAGCCTAAAGAACTGCCTCTTCTAGGTGTGACTGTTAGCTATAAACTGGCAATTTGGGGTACATGCAGGAGATGCTCCCCCTTAAGTGACAGGTAATATCCCTTCATGCTGTTTTTTGTTATTGTAGTTTCTGATAAAGCACCAATTTAAACAAGACAAAATTGCTGAGTGATTCTTCAGAGTGAACTGGAGTAAACTTCGCTCATTATAATTTTACTATAATGCTAGATTCTCTACCTCTGGGTGTTCCTATCCATTTTTGAACATGTGATGTATGAAGAAGCATATTCACATGATTGCCAACTGAGCATGCTCAAGAATGTGCCTGCATCTGCATGTGATGACAAATCTTTTCAATAGGAACATGTATGAGTCTTCCCAATGAAATCTCTAGCCTCCTGTGGTCAGAGATGCTACTTTGGGAGTTATCTCAGGGCTGTCTTGACTTGCTGCAAGTAATAAACCTTTCTTCCCTGAGAGTACTTAAAGGTTTTGCAATAAATTCCTCAAAGCAGGAACTATTCATAATAGGTATTCAATGTGATTCCTTTGCATGTTAAATATTAGTGATAAATAATTTCTGATCCGTCTCCAGAACTCCAAGTACTCTGGGGCATCCCATCTGACTGTTTCTCAGCTGTCTCGTCTTTGGTTTGAAGGCTCTGCTCTGGCCATGATATTTTAATATTCAGAATACACAGCAGTTGGTGCAGTGCTGGTGGTGCAGTGGTAAGTACAGTCGCCCTCCAAGATACACTGCAGTATTGGTTGCTAGCTCTGGATGATAGCCTCCATCTCAGGAAGCATTAACTAAGAAGAGGACTGAGACAGACTGAAAATAGTCACATCCTGGTACTTGACACAACCTACGGTTTGGCGAGACAATCTTTTACACAGGCACACTGCTGATATAGCATGGTGAAATGGAACTCAACCAAGGAGGAAAACCTGCAATATCTTTAACACAGAAATCCTGAATTCTGCTGATTCATTCTGACTTAAAGCTGCATCAACACTTGAGTAAGGAGCACCCAAGCTGACTCTGTAACATTTTTCTGCAGAGCTGATGGAATTTGGCATACAAGATATTTAATCGCTGTTCTATATAGTCTTCTGCAGTTCCTCAGATATTGGCTGTGGTCACCTGTGTTAGTGTCTAATAGCATTAAGCAATATTTTCTTGCAAAAATGCAATCCTGTTTAAAATACTGATGATTGCTGAGAATCCCTGTTTCTATAACTAAAGAAAACCATATAGGAAATCTCTTTAACCAAAGGCTGGGTGCTAGTTCTATTTGAACTCTTCAGTCTCGGTTAAGGCAACATCTCTTATTCATGTTTTATTCTATTTATTTGTTTATTTATTTATTTATTTATTTATTTATTGGTCTTTTTGAAGCAGGGTCTCCTTGTGGCCCCAGCTTTCCTGGAACTCACTATGTAGACCAGGCTGGCCTTGACAAACTCACAGAGATCCATCTGCCTCTGCCTCCCAAGTGCTGGAACTACAGGCATGTGCCACCACTCCCGGCTATTGTTCATGTTTTACATAAAAACATCTATACAACTTGTTCCAACTTAAGAAACAGCATTTAAATATCAACATGAACACATGCACAGGTACATTTCCATCAGTACTAAGTTTCAAAGAATCCATATTCATGCAAATTATGAAGCAAAGAACCTTCTCAAAATAGGTGTTTACAAATCATTGCTTACTTTGTTCTTCCTACATAAGTCATGTGTTGTTACATTATAAAAGGTAAAATGAAAGAAATTATTAGACTGAAGTCTAATTATGTTTCAGTCGGTAATTCAATATGCTTCTTATATAGTGGTGATTACAGTTAGTATTTAATTAACTAGCATTACTTCAAATATTTATTCCATTTAAAATCATAATATGACAAGACTGGGCCCATCAACAGTCAATCATGGATCAGAGAGGGGCTCACTGGACCTTACCCCTCACTGCTGAACTACTGGCTAGTGATGGATTCTGGGGGAGGGATGGCCATTTTCTTGAATTATGTAAGCACTGAGGAGTCCATCATGCTTCACTGGACAGTTCCAAGCCCCTGGCCACAAAGAGATGACCCTGTTTAAACTCAATGAGTATCAAAAACAAAACATGAATGTATGGGAAAGGATCTTGAAGGAAGGACAAGAGAGTTAGTAAGAGTGAAAGGGAGTTAAGGAAGACGGGGGCACTTACAGTTAATCAGATGCAATTTGTACATTGTGAAATTGTCAAAGAACAAACCCAATGCAAGTTATAAAAATAATAATGTGTAAACTCTCTATTTGATATATTTAAAAAGTTAAATGTCTTCTTTCAGAAGAGGAAATAAAGGCACAATCACTATTCGAACTTCATATTTTTCTTTAAGTGTTCTATGACAAATAATCAGTAGAAAATATCCATTGCTTCAACAATAGACACTGTTCTGATGAAACCTGTATCTTAGAAATGAAGTTTCACTGTACTGGCTTCCCAAGAAGACTGTGCTTTACACTTACTTGTTCAGCATGAGATCAAGAATGAACTTGGACCCGAAGGCTTCAATCTGGAAGCTGGCCTGGGCCAGGTGGACAGCCTAAATGCAAAAAAAAAAAAACAGAAGCAACCTTAACTTATCTTGAGGACTGATTACAATCATACCAAGAATGATGTTTAACAGGACCAGTTGATGTTTATCAACCTATTTCTTTAAGTCTCTTTATGTATCTATTCATTTATTTAAAAGACTGACTGTGTGATCATGGCTTTGCTGGGAAAACTTAAATATATCAGCATCATAGAACTAATAAAAAATTGTCCTTTAAAATAAACCCATTGAAATACAAATCAGCAGCATATCCACAGGACTTCCAAAATGAAGATCATGAATTGTGCAAAACTCTTAATTTAGACTTGGTTGGAACTGTGTTACCCACAAAATAAATCTTCCTGCACACCTAAGAGAAAAATCTTGCCAGCACTCTGTTCTTCAGTAGGAACTGGAACTTTCTCTAAATGGTGTATCAGCAGAATGTGACAATGAAGTTCAATGGCACAGCCTTCTGACTTGTTGAAAGCACTTAGACCTTGGCTCCATGGGAATTCTAAGTTTATATCCCCTTTTAAAGTCACATGTTCATAAAGACTCTCATTATGACTTAATTCAAAACACAAAAATAAATCTAAGCCAGAATAGTATTTATCAGATTAGCATAGCTCAAAGAAACACCTTGAATAATATAAATTAACAAATAAATGAAGAGCTGTCAGAGTGTTAACTAAGAGAAAGCCTTCCTTTGTCATATGTCAGATCTCCTTTCAAAGACAAGAATACATGCAGCATCCACACACCACTCCCTAGACTCACAAATGTCTTTGCCCCAGTTTGTATTCCTAAGGCAGTGGGAATCCCAATTGACATATAAAGTGCTCCTTGCCTGGTAACCAGACACTCTCACAAGCACACCTGGCATCCCCTACCAGGACTTCATTTCCCAGCTCCCTCCACTGCCACTCCAGGCTCCTCCCAGCCCTCCCATCCATTATTAATTATCAAAATGCTCCCATCCTTCAAAGGCATCCTGATTGCATGATTCTCCACGAAGCCCTCCACCATACACAGTCTGGGATGAACTCCTGGTCCTCAGAGCTTCAGGAATACTTTATCTTTCCTCCCTCTGTCAGTTGTGGTGTTTGCTTCCTTCTATCCTGCCCCTGGACAGTGAGCTCCACAGTGCATGTCACAGGCATCTTGCAAACACTTGTAGATTGATGGCCCTTCCTCAGACTTTCAAAGAACTTGCTGAATATTGTCAGGACCATTCTACCTTGCCACATTCATATAAACACTATCAATAAGTCATACCTTCAACTTCCTGTCAAGTACAATTATCAAACAAAGTCAATAAATATCATTTTAAAAGAAAATTAACACATCCAAAAATTTAAATACAAAAGAATGACAGGTTCCTGAATCCCTAATGTGGTCAGGTGCTACTCCAAACTCCAAACAGCCATCAAGATCATACTTGTCCTGGGTTCCTGCATCTAAACACCTGCATGAAAGAGAAAGGAGCATCTATCATGTTAAGTGTGGTCTCTGTCATCCAATAAAACATCACATAGTCTTTATATGAATTCATTTTTTTACTTTGCACCATTGATTTCTGCTTGAAGACATTTATATGGAAGAATAAATTACATAAAAAGAGAGTTTTCAGTTATGGAGTCCAAAAGTTTTTTTTTGTTGTTGTTTTGTTTTGTTTTTAATATATAACTTACTTCCTGAGACTACGGTAAATGCTTAAGAATATTTTCTCACTAAAATAATGGAGAGCTTAAAAATGTTCATTGATGGAAACGTGGCTTAAAGAAGCTGATACATGTGCCTCCTGGAACTTTCTTATAAACTCCAAGAACCTGATAGCAACCTGGGAAAAGCAAATAAGCAATTAGACAAGTATAAACACCAAGAACACCCTCTAGGCAGTAAGGAAGCCTAGTGCAAAGTGTACTGCACCTGTTTTGTAGAATTGCAAGGACCTACACAATTGGATAATTGCTCAAGTAAGTTTATATGAAGCCAGCATGACAAGCTACAGTTTAACTGAATCTAATGAAAGACTTAGCAAATAATACAGGGGTTTCCTTTTGCCTTTCCAGCCAACTCACTGCACGAGTGTATATGAGGTTCCATCTTATGTATAAAGACAGCAGGGCACTGCTCTGGGGAAGCAGGCAGGGCTGCCAGCCTCTGTGTCTAAGTGGCCACAGGGACCACGGCTAGCTACACTCAGGGTAGCCTCAGGGCAGCAGCTATGGGAAGGCTTTTCCAACAAGACACTATTTGCACCAAAAGGTGAAATAAGAATCCACCTAAGAAGGGAACAGAAAATGTAGTTACAAAACCAGAGTCAAAAAAAAAAAAAACAGAATGTGGGGGAAAGAACTATTAATTTTTTTAAATATGTATGACCTGCAGGAAAATAACTTCCAGAGGAAATGTCAATGAATCTGCCAAGGCTGGCTGCAACTGGAAGGCTTTGCATGATGTGCTCAGTGACACGGGACAAAGTGACACAGGACAGCAAATGTGCCGGTGCAGCAAGCTGGTCTCTAAATGCCCATTCCTTACATTCACTCAACACGTTGTCCATCATCATCACCACCACCATCATCCTCCAAATATATGAAAAGAGTACTCTCCAAAATAATGGACATAATTTACCATGCCAGCAATAACGAGCCTGTTTTCCACAGGGGAGAAAAATCTAATTCTATTCTCTTTACTGATAAATATGCTTTAAGATTTTAACTTATTTCTAACAGTGAGGCAGCACATTTTTTCTATAAAATAACTTAAGACTTCTTCCACATACTCATCTTCTTTAGTCAAGTATCAAACAGAGCCAGCACATTCATTTACTATAACTGTATCCATTTTAAATAATATCAATGCATCAGTCATGTGATTTTTATTACATTCTGTTTCCTTTTCCATCGCTATTCATGCTGCAGGAGTACTTACAGTATAGATTCCTTATAGAAAACAAAAGCCTGGCAAGTGTTTCTTTCCTTAATTCTATTATTTCCACCTGACCTTGACACAAGTTAAAAAACTTTTAATCTCTGAACTCTGTTATTGCACTTAAATTTGTCAGATTTTTTTAGCAAAACAATAATAGTCTTAATGTAATCTTTAATTGTTTACTTATTTTCATTTTATGTGTATGGGTGTGTTTGCCCTGCATGTATATAAGTGTACCCATGTCATGTAATGCCCATGGAGGCCAGAAGAGGGCATTGGATCCCCTGGAACTGGAGTTACTGACAGTTGTGAGCCACCATGTGGGTGCTGGGAACCAAACCTAGTCCTATGCAAGAGCAGCCAGTGCTCTTAACCACTGAGTCATTCCTTTAGCCACCCCCCAAATGTAATTTTTAAATATGCCTTAAAAATCAGATAAAGTAAGTCCCTACTCTCCCTCCCTCCCTTCCTGCCTCCCTCCCTTCCTCCCTCCCTCCCTCCGTGTGTGTATGTGTGTGTGTGTGTGTGTGTGTGTGTGTGTGTGTATATATATGTGTGTGTGCATTTAATTTCTGAGACAGAGTCTCATGTAGCCAAGCTGGCCTCAAATTCACTATGTAGCTGAGGCTGCCACCACTTCCCAAGTGCTGGG